ATATATAATATACATATAACATAATGCATATCGCAAATACATACATTCATATACATAATTAGTAAGGGAAAAAAATGTTTTTGTTAAATCACATTTTCACATTGATGTGGAGAGTCAAACCTGTAATTGCGATCTTTGCCGACCATTTACTGGTTCCATCGAGGACGCTCTGCTTCACAGCCTTCATATGGCCGGTATGGCTCTTCTCTTCGATACTGAACACGGCTCTAAATAGGTTATATGGATGGATGGATGTATGTAGTACAGTGCGTGAGGGGCATATGTCATGTCATAAAGCTTGTTATATTTTTATATTATATAATATGCTCCTAATATTTGAGACACTGTATATATATTTTATATTTTTCTGTGTATATGATGATTTTTCGAGCATTCGGTATAACAGAAATGGAATTAGAAATAGACTACTATTAGGAAACAGTTGATAGTTGAAGAAACCTCGGGTTGCTTAGCATCACACGCTATTGTTAGAGACTCAAGAGCTTTTAATTTATATAATCTTATATAATAAATAATTCCATTTTTTAGCATAGGAATCGAATCGAAATTGAAAGAAATAAGTCGACTTCATCGATCACAAGCTATGTATATGAATGAAGACATCTCCCAATTATTAAATCATCAGTAGCCATACAATAAAAATTCATTAGTAGAGAACTTAGGTTTTCTTATTCATTACATATAGATGAGTATGAATATCCGCACCAGCCACAAATGAGATCTATTTCAAAGCGTTACCTGATCAACTCAAATATTTCCGGTTTTTCCCGCTCGCGTTGCTTCATCCGATCCTTCATTGCTGTAATTATCGAATTGGCCTTATCCTCGGCACCATGCTTGGAGCTCTTCTCAGCGGCACCTACAAATACAAACGTTAACTTTATATACACATCGATAATGCAAAAGTGGACATAAATAATGTGAAATACACATTTCGACTTACGTTGTAGACAGTCGGCATTCAATAAGTCCTTACACTTCTCGTGGCATTTAACCCCGCACTCTGTGCACCGCACTCCCTGCCTTGCGATGCCCCACAGCAATCCCTCGCACTCATAGCAGTAAGTCGGCGAGGTAGCCGTCCAAAGTACAAAATTATGTGGAGTCGTCGAAGATATTGGATATATGAGCGCCTGCAGTGCCTTTTTATAGACGTGCATTTTCTAAAAACCGACGTAATAAGTTAACCTCAAGGCGAAAAATTTAAAATATGAATTTATAAATATACGGCGCAGGTCCATATCCAAAATAGTACTAAAACAATATTATTTGCTCCACTTATAACATACGAATAGCACAAAACCAATAAACTCAGAGCTAACTACGGATTATTCTTTGCATAGTGCGTTTCATGTTCTATGTATCAATTTTAATAGATATTATCACGTATTTTCCTTAGAGCTCTCTCTTCCTAAAATAAAATCTTTTCTATTAGCTTACCTTAGGGAAATCAAACGCAATGCCCAGGCATAAGCACTGGTATACATTTCGTTGTGTAGTGATTTCTCAATCCTATCCTATATTACTTTTTGTCTCTTCTTTTGCTCATATCTTTTCATTTGTTATTCTTTGTTCTGTTCACTTTTTCTTGCAATATTTGTAATTTTCCTTTTCTGTACTAACACTTTTATCTTAAGATTTATTATAATTTTAATTATATTAACTATATTTAAGCTCTGTTAATATCTAATTTTTAAGTTTTCAATTTTAATACTTTCTTTTCATAGTTTCAATAGTATCAGTGACCACATTTGGCTGTAAATTGGGGCATAGATGGCCGTACTGGCAAATAAAATACCTCTATCGGGTTGGTGATATTGTTACTTGTACTTTTTGTAGCTATTTTAATTTTAGTTGAGTCCACTTTTGTCAATATATTTTAAATAAATAAATAAATGATTCAGTAAAGAAATTGTTTTATATATCCTGAACCCATTTTCAATCAGAGTACCAGCAAAAGATCGACCTAATTCAAATGCTAGGATTTCAAATTGCTACAGCCAGCAAGGGCTTYGCACACAGGCATACAAATGCTCATAGTACATGTAGCATACTGTAAGTGTGTGTGTGCATGCTCGTCGCGAAAACATTTTCATTATGCGCACCAACGCTTTCATACTCTTCC